GCGCCTCCGGCTTACTTTTGAATGTTTTTTACAAGATGAAAAGAAACGTAGTTGATTAATTGAATGGACATTTGTAAAAACGTGGAACTGAATCCAATCGTCTGTATGAAATAATGAATATGAACATTCGGAGTCAGGCTCACTTTTTCTCCCTTACCACTTAGTTAAAATATGTAGTGTAACTTACATGACAGTGGTACAAACCTTTTTTATTTACGTCGGTCACGCCATCCTAGGAGCTGATTTCTTAACTAATTTCAGCCTGTTAGTTGACGTCAAAAATAAAAAGCTGATTGATAACAACACCCAACTACAGATCCACGGAATTATCTCCAACTATTCTGTCTACAATATCAGTATTGAAAGACCAGCGGATTGCACTTTTTCCGCCCTGCTTCATCGTTTCCCTAAAATTCTTAAGCCTTCGTACAACGTCGAAGACGTCCCTCATACAGTGACTCACAAGATAGTTACTACGGGTCAACCAGTTCGTGCTCGCCCTCGTAGATTACCTCCGGAAAAATTAGCAGCAGCCAAGGCAGAGTTTGAACACATGATGCAGCTCGGCATCATCAGACCCTCCAATAGCCCTTGGTGTTCGCCCTTACACATGGTGCCTAAGGCTGATCATGATTGGAGGCCGTGCGGGGATTACCGACACTTAAACAATGCCACCGTTCCCGACCGTTATCCTATTCCTCATCTTCATGATTTCTCCCTGACACTACACGGAGAAACCATATTTTCTAAGGTAGACCTGGTCAGGGCCTATCACCAAATACCAGTTGCCCATGAAGATATCGAAAAAGCGGCCATCATCACACCTTTCGGCCTGTTCGAATTTCTCCGAATGCCATTTGGCCTAAAGAACGCAGCACAATCCTTCCAACGGTTCATGGATCAGGTCACACAAGGTTTGGACTTTGTATTTGTATATATCGATGACGTTTTAATTGCCAGCTCGTCGCCCGAAGAACATACTGATCACCTCACCATCTTATTTCAACGATTTGAGCAATATGGAGTAGTCATTAACCCCAAAAAGTGCATATTCGGTGTCCCCTCTATACAGTTTCTGGGACACCACATAACTGCGAATGGTATTACACCTACGGAGGAAAAGGTAGAGTCCATCAAAAATTTAACCGTACCAGATTCACTTAAGAAGGTCAGACGTTTTATGGGGATGTTTAATTTCTATCGGCGTTTCATTCCTTCGTGTGCCTCCATCGTCCAGCCGTTAACCGACCTCCTTAAAAAGGATCCTAAAAAGTTTCAGTGGTCAGCTGAAGCCCATGAATCTTTTTGCAACGCAAAAGACGCCTTATCCAAAATCACTATGCTATCTCATATCAACCCCGAAGCATCGCTTATTTTGTGCACAGATGCCTCCCAAGTAGCTGTAGGGGCAGTATTACAACAAAAGATGAAAGGTGAAGTCACCCCACTCGCATTCTTTTCTAAGAAGCTGGAACCGGCTCAGACACGTTATAGCACTTTTGGGAGAGAATTGTTGGCCATATATCTTTCAGTGAAGCATTTCAGTTACTTACTACAGGGCCGGCACTTTAAGCTTCAGACACTTGGCACGCTTGTCACTAAAAGCATTTCCAATAGCATGCTGTGGATTTGCATCAACAGATGCCTTTGCTATTTCGATACTGAAGGTCTACAAAAAAGGATAGTCAACTAGGAACACTATCAGTGAACGGCCCAAAAAGCAATTACTCAACAAATATGCAGAAGGAAATGGAGGTGGACTGGATATAGACTGAGGAAACATTCAAAGTGATATCACACTCTGTGACCTCGATTACAACCTGAATGGGAAACGGTGACTTGGGCTTTGGAGGAGATCATGCGATGAACAGGTTAAGGCATGTGGTCTCAACTGAAACTTGTGGCACAGAATCGGGATGAATGAAGATGTCTTGTCGAAGCTCTGTATCTCACTCGGAACACAGTAACTGAATGGTAATAATAGCGGTAATATTAATTTAAAGGCATATTTTATCAAAACCAGAGATGAGCTAGAAAATCTCACTGCCATCGACAGAAGTTAATTGGTGGATGGTGACTAGCAGTGGAATCCATGAGGATGTGCATTTCGTCCTATTTGGGACTCGTCCTCCAGCTGGATGCGCATGCCTTCCGCAGTGAGTGATGATTATCCCACCGAGGCTTGAACCCAGTGCCCATAGTTTCAAACGCCAAGGCGTTATCTACTACACCACTTGGACCACGAGAGCCACCACCTCTTGCGCAATGTGTCATATTAATTGTTTAATTGAATTTTAGATTTTCCCATCGATTGATTGGACCGAAGTGCTCGATCTCAGGTTGACATGTAGGTTTCTTGTGCAGATGCTTCGACGAGTCCCAAATAGGACGAAATGCGCATCCTGGATTCCACTGCTAGTCACCATCCACCAATTAACTTATAATTACACGCCGAGACATCGTCGAAGTATCTGCACAAGAAGCCGACATGTCAACCCGAGACCGAGCACTTCGGTCCAATCAATCGACGAGAAAATCTAAAATTGAATTAAATAACCACTGGACAGATGTTTAGTTCTAATTTATGCCCCTTCAAGTGTCCTCACCAAAAACTTTTGAAAAATTGTAAAAATAACCAGTGGGTAACTTTCTTATGTTTATCCTCCAACGGGATCATAGGTAAACACTGTTGAACAGAGGAAATCTAAAACAGAACGGAAGTCCAGTGACCCTTAATATTCAACAGTGCTGTAACCATTATGGGTAAATTTTATTTTGATAGAGTCTCACAGTGTTATACAGTAATATTTACTGATGACGTTTCGAGCACAAATTATTGCTCATAATATTCAACAGTGCTGTAACCAATATGGTAACTTTGAAAGCAATCATATTTCCGCAGGCATAAGCACCTATGACTTATTGTCACATTTATCTCTCGAAAGCTTTTTTGATCAAATAACCTTTGCCTATAACTGTGATAAGTGTCATTTTCGCCAATGTCTGCATCTCTTTTTGTCAGTTTTAAGTTGTTTTTTCCCGCCATTTTTCAACGTGTTTCTGTCTCATATTTTTGGTTAAAATAACTACTGTGTGATTTTACTGACTGGGCAAAAAAAACAAGTCGAAACTTGTTGTTTTTGATACTTTTTATTTGATTTTTTTTCACCTAATAGACAAAATCTTATGTGTCCTCATATATTTTGATAAGAGTTTGAATATTACTCCCCCTCACCACACGGAATAATTGTGGCTGAAGGTTTAATGCACGAAAAGCAGACAATCACATGTGTAAGCATACGGTTATTAGTCGGCTAAATTTTGATTGGTTTTTACGGTTGCATGCGACGTTAAGTTGACTTATTCGTGTGGCTTGTATTCTACAATTGGTTAAGAACATTTATGAAATTGTACATATACATGTTGGAAATAACGACTACCTCAAGTTTATTTCGTTAAAATGATGCCTATTCATCATGAAGTTTCAAATTACTTGTCCACTAAGAGCTGTGCATATGAGGAATTAGTTACATTAGATGTTAAGAGCAATGAAGCATATAATATGACGTTACCGAATCAAAATACTAACATTTCTAAAAAATTGTCTAGTCGTCGAGGTAGACGTTCAACAATACCTTTAGAAATCCGTGATGAAGTTCGTCGGGTAAGCTTCTTTTTACGCGTAAATTGCATCAGTATATTAGACCTTATTACTACTACTATTTTTTTTCATTCCTTTACGTTCCCAGTGGAACATAGGGCCACTTCAAGCTAGAGGCTTGAAGTTTCGGTAGCAGTGGTGATTATTTTTACAGGATGGGATTGCTAGTTTCATGCCCAACCTCCCCTCTTTACCATTCTTACAACTGGTTTAGCGAGATTTAGGAGTGCATTGTCGATCGGAGATCGAACTCCGAACCACCTGTGTGGTCGGCGAGTACTCTTCCGCTGTGCCACCGACCCACTATTACTATTACATTTCATAAAAATCTGTAGTAACAGTATTTTGTTAATTTCTGATATAAGAATAAATCTTAGGCACTCTAGCAGAGTGTGATTCCATCTTAGAATAATCTTATCTGATAAAAGCACAGTGTGATACAGAGTTATTTACTGATGACATTTTGAAGTTAATTTATTGTTCATATTCATACTAAGACACTCACTGAATGTAATCGCATCATTTCTTATTCTTTGGCTTTATTGGCAGTAACATTTTTTCATATATCTGGTATTAGCATTGTGTCATTTTGATTCCACGTACTAGGCGTACCTTGTATAGACAAAGTTTCAGAACCCCCTTATTAACTGAAGTCTGAGTTTAGGGCCAGTTAACAATTATCTTAACTAAGTACAATTAATCGCTACGATTATAAATATTGTTATTGAATCGAATGTCTCTACCAAAGGAGTTATTTTGATTAAGTTAAAAGTATTTGGACGTATAATCCCTTCTTTATGAAATTCCTCCTTCAAAAATAAAAGTAAATTTCATGTGATTTGTTTAACTTGTTCTCCAATGAACAGTTGATGTAGATTTCATTGTGAGCCAACATTAGTTAGAGAACCACTGAACAACAAAGTGCACTATAAATTTATCTCTTCCTATTATGAGGCTTTGCAGTGGACAGCACCTGTGATTACATAAGAGACCTTCAGGTTAAAAGGCAGGTCCACTGACTTTCGGCTTAACCTATTCGTTTGTAATAATTCATCCATGATTGTTGAATTACATTACATCTTTTATTTATGTGTGAACAGTGATAAGTAAGATAAAAGTATATTTTTCATTCTTTCTATAATCTACAATTTAATCCTGTCTACATTGTAATTTGACTGCCTCGGTGGCACAGGGGAAGAATGCTCTCCAACCACACAGGTGGTTCGGGGTTCGATCCCCGGCTGATGCACTCCTAAACCTCGCTCAGCCTATAACAAGACTGGTAAAGAGGGAAGGTTGGAGTATGAGGCTAGCAACCCCATTTCATGAAGATAAATGCCACTGCTATCAAAACTTCAAGCCTCTGGCTAGAAGCCCTATGTTCCACTGGGAACGTAAAGGAATAAAATGAACAAATTATGGTTTGAATGAAATGTTTATTTTCCTTAATTCTTTTTTTCTCTTTTTCTAGTTGAAGAAACAATATACAGAACGACGTCGTCGTGCATGTATTACAGACAAAATGAATGCATTACACAATTTGGCTATGAAATTAATCGGAGAGGATGTAAGTGTAAGCAATTTCTTTTGTGCTTTTCTTTTTCAAATATTCAATTAATTTGATGGACAAATATACTTCTTCTTTTAACGTGAAACTGTGCATCATTTTTGAACGATTTAGTTAAACTATTTTCCATATAAGTTTCTATGAGGCTTAAAAGTCGTATTCAAGATAGCTAATGACTAACGTAGATACCTCCCCATAGAATATATCACTCATTTTATTATGTAATCAGCTCATAAAGTAGGCTTTATGCTGCTAACTCCAATCATTGAAAAGGATTATGCAATTCCTATGGGTTTAACAGAACCTATGGAACTAAAAGATTTCAAATTTTAGAAAAGCATATAAACAAGGAGGTTTTTTTGCAATAAACTCTTTCAAATGGAATAATTCTTTCACAGAAATGAATTAACTTATGTATAACTTGAGAATGTTTATATAAATCTGTCTAGAAATTTGGTTGTACTGCTTATTTATTGCTCAACTACTTACAAAATGTTTAAGTAATAAAAGTGAAAAATAAATAAATATACATGTGTTACTTTGCTCGCATAATAATTCGTTTGTCTCTTTAAACATTTATAGCCAATAAAATATTCTAAAATGGAGAAAAGTGATATCCTTGGAATCTGTTATACTGTATTTGAAGGAATCTCGAGAATTTTGAAGGAAAGGCCAGGTAATTTTAAATGTTGTTCAAATAAGCATTTTGTAAAGTTATGTTCTTTATTCATTACTCCCTTTAGTTCACGCACAATAGTTTTCCTGGAGAAAGTTTCGTTTGTCAGAGAATGAACAGTTTGTATTCAAAATGTGTGACATCATGTGTTTCGGGTTTGGGACCGGCTAGAAAACTAGCCGGCTAGTTAAGTAGGTGAGGTTAGGATTTTAGGAGAAATAATAAAAATTAAGAATTAAATGAGACGAAAATCGCTGTTCATAAATATGAATCAAGAATGAGGGTTGATTTGCTTTTGTCTTATGTCTTCTACTAATTAATTTTACCTCCTACATATATTAACTGTTACACACTAATTAGGCTGATTGTAAGCACTTTAATTGAGGAACTGATTCTTCTTGTGAATAAAGATTTCTACACGAGCTGTTATCAGTTAGAGAATCACTGGAATCCAAAAAGAAATATACTCCGACTCATTGGCTTGATGGGTAACTTACTTACCTTTTAGCCTGAAGGTCTAGAGTTCGACGAGTTGGGCATCCTAGGATGATAGGGAGGAGATCGTGTGAGGAGGGGACGAGAGCCTATGGGCAGTCGTGAATCCAACTAAAGAGGACTGCAGAGAGCAGGAAAAAATGGAGATGGGTTGTTGAAGTCGTATTTTCTAATCGGAACCCAAGAGAATAATAATAAACAAGGGTTCGATCTTTGGTCGAACCAAGCTAAGGCGAAACGGCTGTCAATTACTCTTCCAATGATTGTCTTGCTGATGTCTTTTCTTGAGGATATCTATATTGGAGTTAACTGAAATCCTTACATAGCTTAACATTTCAAAAGGAATTGTAGTTTTTTTTAAAAAGTCTACATAATCATGGAATGCGAATAATGGAAGGTTTGCTCACATACTAATTCAGTTCATGTCAATAGTTGTTAGTTATTGTTAGTTTAAATAATCCAAAGGTTAAGACTTAGAAACTGTTATTCAGTACTGGTAGATGAAAATATTAACTAAGTTACCGATTAAGTTATATTAATAGATAAAGACATGCTGACACGTAAAATAACTGAAATTTTTTGCTTCCTATGTTACCGATTCAACGGGAGATTAATTTTTTTTACTGTTTCCCTGACAACTTTTCAGAACTACTGTCCCGTTTGCATAAATTAACCTCAAGTTGTCTTGAGACGAAGGATTCAAGAAACAGTCCACAGTCTACAGATACAGTTAGCCTTCAGTCAAACAGTCCAATTTCATCAACGAGATCTGATTACAAAGCTGAACGTCAAGAAAATCAATTGGTTTATCCTCTTGCAACCAGTATCATTCCTTCACAAATAAAAGAGTTGAACCAAAATCCATCCAATACTTCATATGAACACTCAATTGAAAGTTCAGACTTTTGTACAAAGATGGATACAAGACTAAGAAGTCCCCTTAAGATGAATACTTCAGAGTTGTTTTCTTGCTGTATTCAACCAATTAATAAGAAAGCTGATTTTCTATGTAATAAATCCTCCAAACCTCATACCTTTCGATTACCATTAAAATATCGTTGGTCACAAATGAAAAATCAAAATATATTCAAAGTTGAAGATAAGAATGATTACAATTCCACCAGTCAACAGAATTTATCGTGTAGAATCAATGATCGATTTATTTTTGAACCCAAATGCCCTAAATTCATTGATGATCATGATCTAGTTTCAAACCAATGGGGTAGTGTTACTGATGATCAAAAAGAAAATATTCGACAGATTATTAGTGAACAAAATGTTTGGCGACCATATTTAAGCTGAATGTGTTATTTTTTTGCAATTTTATCCATCTTATGTACAGAACAGATTTATAAAGCTTATTTATTTAATTATCAAATTTATTTTTGTAAAGTGATTTTCATTCAGATGAATTATACAGTCGTATTATCCAGACTTGACTTATGACGAACCTGAGCTTATCTTCCTTTCAGGTATGATCGATATTCAAATGTAGGAGTTAATGAATATTACATTGCATTGTTTAAGTAGAAAGTATGTATAAGCGTTATAGATTGGTAAGAATTTTGCTTAATGTTTAGAAGGTGTTGTCTAGGAAGCTGGTGATTGAGTTGTTATGTCTGTTGAAACTTCACAACGGGTATATGCAGTATTTCACTTATCAGGCTTAAGGATACATGAATTAATACACCAATGAACGTAGTTATTAGCTTGATCAGGCTTTAAAAGTTAGTTTCTGATTAGCTTTACGCAATTCATAGTTAGACATAACTATCATTTAGGGACTGACTTGTTACCAGTAGACAGTCTCATCGGCTTACGCGGATGATATCGTTGTCTTAGGAGAGAACACTGACGAAATGCAGAGTCTTCTAAACACCTTGAGTAGCAACTTCTGATTGTTTGGCATGCGATTCGATCTTGTGAAATGTAAGATGATGCTGCAAGACTGGATTACACCGACTCCTAGCCTTAAGATACAGAGTGAAGTAGTAGAGTATGTTGACTACTTCACTTATTTGGGAAGTTGAATCAGCTCCAGCTGATTAGTAGCTGACGAAATCTCAGCACGGACACATAAGGTTCATGTGACATTTATCATCTTATGTCACCTCTGGAGAAGACATAATGTCTGGCTATCGATCAAAGGATGTGTGTATTGCTCAGTAGTTCGTACTATCCTTCTTTATAGGCGTGAGATATAACCATCGAAATATGGAGATATGAAGAGGCTAACTGTCTGCGTTATACCTGCTGTGTTAAGTTGTATGATACGGCAATTCATGTCGAGGTTAGGTGAGGAGGGCAAGTCAGTTGATGTAGTTTTGAATCTACATTGGTTGAGAAAACTAGAACATATGCTATGCATGCTGATCCACAAGTGAGCAATTTCATGTGACATAAGATGAGGTTGGAAAAGATTTGGGGTTGGTCAAACCAGAACATGACACAAATCAATGAAGTCTTTGACAGTTGGTTTGAGTCACATAGGGAGGTGTAGACTGCCTGGTTGGGATCCTCGGGATGCTAAGAACGAATGGCTTGAGGCTGTTGGTGATTTAGATGAAAATTGTTGTCAGTGGTGTAGATGTATTCACTCTTCGTAATCTCACAGATTCATTATATCCTTATTATGATTTTCCATGCTACTACTCGTTATTCAGCAAATTTCTGTTCGTTATATTTCTTCTGAATCTCTTCGTACTTTTCTCTGCCTATGTGTACTTATGGTGTTTGGCAACTTGAACTGTTGTACTTCTGCGGAAAGTTCTACACTGGAACCCAGTCAGTCAGTACAAAAAAGCTAAATTTATGTTTCCTGCTTCCTATGCAGGTAGTGATTCACACTGTTCACAATTGGAGGAGGAAATTTTTGGGGAAACGATAGATATTCCCATTACAATTTGTCACCTTTTTGACGCTATAAATGACATCAAGAAAACGAATAAAAATGTTTAAAAAAATGTATGCTACTTACGGATATCAGTAGTCGGAAAATAATCACATCAACTAGTGGCCTGACATCGTGATTTTGTTTTTCTTTCTGAAGAGAAACAGTTTTTTCCATCTAAAACCGAGGCATTTTAAAACCCTGAAAACCGATCCAAAGTTCTAAACGTTGTTTTTCAGTTGAGTTTGATTATCGTAATTACCATCAGTCAAAGTAAGCGTTACAAATTGATAACAAAGCTTGTTTGTATGACTTAAGATTCTCTAAAGAATTTAACAATCTAAAAGGTGTATAATACAGGGGTAAACTTAAACCAGTTTCTAGTAGGTGTCATGTTTATATGGATCCAAAGAAATTAGATAGTAAGATCACTTCTGATATTAAGTCTTTATTAAAGAATTTTGAAGGATTATGCTACCATGACGTTGTGATGGTTCGAGTCCTTTGAGCTTTGACTGGGTCGACCAGATCTCCTTTTAGAACATTCGATTGCATAAAGCTTTCATCAAAGCATGTCCATCAGGTCAGTCATTTGCTGTTACTCATGTAACTGTCTCCATGTGATTCACTCAGAGAAGTAATGAGTGGAACTTTAGAATACCGATCCCACAAAGTCAAGCGATGATTCAAATTCCGTTATGGTTAGAAATCAGTTTTACATTTAGGAAATATAAAGGAAATTTGTGACAAGCAAAGCAGCAAGCACACAGATAATGAAAACAGAACACAAGCTGTTCAAAAAACGTTTATTCCATGAGAATCAATTATAAAACGTGCGGAGGTCTAGTCTTAGAGTCTAACAGCCTTCCTTGTCTTCGCTAAGGTTTAGATCCTTCAGTTGTTGTACCTCTTCATCCAGATAAGTGACTCCCGAGTATCTTCCAGCAAGTAAAGAAAATAAAACATTGATTAGTGTTTATTATATAAGTTTTGTTTTCATTACATTGAGTTATCAGAATTTTTCGTGATATTAGTAGTTAATCGGATTCTTAACTATTCGACATTAGTAGTTAAAATTACAGGAAATATTTTCTCAAGAATAATTTCAATGAAATAATTTATATGAACCTTGGACTATGTATTGAAAATATGATTAAATTGGAACAGTCATCTTAGAACTTCATAATCACAGTTATCAGCATTTTGATGCTTATTGTAACCGAGTTCGCATTAACCACCCACTCTCTCCGAGTTAATGGTTTAGCAGTTCAGTAGAGTTTTAAATTAAAATCAACATAGTAGAAACTGTAGGCTAAAATAATGCTAATTTCTCTAGTGACATTTACATTGTAGCGTAGCAAGTTAGGTTTCTTTTGCTTGTTGATTATTTTGAATGACTTCAAGTTGTCTACATTATGACCAGTGTCTAATAGAAGACGCGCAATTGCACTGTTTAATACTTGTGGACCTTTCAGTCTCAGGTTCTTTGGTATGTGTTCAGAAATGCGGACAATAATCCTTCTCTCTGTTCTTCCGATGTAGGTGCTTTGGCACGTACATGTAAATTGGTAGACACAGTTGGAGGTAACATGAGGTGGGTATTTGTCCACTTTTGATTGTCTCAAACAACTAGTTGTTTGATAAACACATACAAGCTTGGCGGCTGGATATGTTCTTTTCAGGGCAGCGTTCAGTCTGCATCTTATTCTACTGGCAGTATCATCACCTTTGAATGCAAGCTGCAGAAAGATAGGCTTTTTCTCTACTGTGCTGATTTTCACTTTTTCAACATGACGTCTCCCATACTCCATATGTTGAAGATTCATCAACAGTCTGTTCATGGAGGTGGGTTTGTTGTTTTGTGTGTTTATTTTATGTCATTATTTCATGTTAACCTGATACACTCGACGTTTCACTATTGCGTTACATACATGGCCACTGTGGTTTCTCTTTGTGTAGAAGTGGAAATCGGTGATTTCTGTAAAATTTTCTTTCTGAAACGTAATTTCAAAAATCGGCTTCCTGCATTTAGATCTTTGCTGACTGCCATGACTGTTGCGTAATTGTCTTGTGTAAGCATTTAGTGGGAGTGTGGCTGTCAGTTTTTATTCACTGTATGAAACTGAACAACTGAAACTGATTGGTGAATTCATTAGGCCTTTCGATGCTTCATCCTTGATTATATTTTTGCGGAAATGGTAAAATATAAGTGGAATGAAACGATTGAGTTCTATATAGATACTCAAACTCTGATTCTCTTTTCAAACATGTTGCTTGAGCAGGTTTCGGAAATAGCCAGTTGATGTGATTCTTCTGCTTATACTTATTTCTATCAGGCATGCATGAAAGTACTTTACGAAAACGTCTACAGGATGATTTTTCATCATATAACTGTTGACGGTGCTAGTAATAACAACGAGATATTGACAGCAATTACATTTAAAAGCTAGAATAAATCCTGACATAAAGTGGAAAATACTGTCATCAAGTCGTATTTACACACTTTTGTGTAAATGGTTTAAAACAGAGCATCTTAGAGAGAATTCACTACATCTGTTGATACTCCATGTTTCATAGTGTGCCAACCAGTTGACTGGGAATGCACGTACAAGGGATGTTTGTAACTCACTGTGTGAAGAATAAGTGTAAATGGGAGGAATTAATAATTTTTCACAAATTCCACTTCACTTGAAAATGTCACGGGAAATAGGATGAAATTCATCAATTCATACTTCAACCAAATTTCTTTTATATTATCTCGCTTATCTGATGTTCAGTTCATCTACATTTCACAGTGGTAATCTGTGTTGTAGTGGACTAAAACGTGTCTTTCATTCGATGTATGAAATAGCAACTATGTCTTCACGATCTTTAGGTAAGACATACACACAGAATCGTCGTTGTTAGGAGCGTGTTACAAGTAGATAAATCAGTTATAGAACCGTTTAGATAGTGTTGAGTAGTGAAGGTTTACAATTGGGTCACGGAAAGGATTCATAACTGTGATCACTTTTATTATGTAGTACAATGTGAATAAAAACCATCAGTTATCTTACGTAAATTAAAATCACTGTACAGGTCACATTTTTACTCTTTCACCTCTGTCTTAAATTGTTTCTACTTTTCAGGGAAACCAAAGAAGGATGTGAAATCATAGAAAGCATGCAGTTGAAAGAAGAAAGTGATTGCTGACAATGTCAAGGATCTTTTTGTTCATTTTTATACACAATCATGCTACTTTTTCACTACTTAAATAAACTGTTTTCTAGCACCTGAGAAGTATTTCTTATGATATATTGCGTCAATTTCGCCATTCTGAATCTGTCTTCGTCGCAGTCGCAGTCGTTACCATTTACTAAACAGTTTCACCAAAATATAAACGTCAAAAACGGATTAAAGTATGTGATTCTCTTGACAACTACATATTAATAAATGGATATGGATTCTACTCATTCACCTAATTTCCTAGAAGAATAAAGCCTTACCTTTCAGTGTGAGAATAGGATTTTGTTCTCTGAGCTGGATACGTGTACATCTTCAGCGCATACTTCAATTCGGAGTGA